AAAGCGGTGAACAACATTGATACAAAACATCACGAGACAAGTATAGGACAATTAAAAACAATTGTAACATAAATCATTAAACATCCGTATAGCAATCATTAGCGCCTCAACAGTAAAATCAGAATCCAGGCTCATCATCCATTATTCCATATTCTTATGTTCAATTACACTGTTTAATCAAATGCTTGTTCGAACAGCCAGGTCTTCACTTTCCTCCGAAACGTCAGCAGGGAGGGGGCCGATCTGATATCTGCAGGCAGGGCATTCTACAGCCAAGGGGCCACCACTGAGAAGGCCCTGTCTCTCGTTCCCGCCAAGTGCGCCTGTGATGCAGGCGGGACAGAGAGCAGGGCCTCCCGAGATGATCTTAGTGTCCTAGTCGGTTCATAGGAGGAGATGCGTTCGGAGAGGTAAGTAGGGCCAGAACCATGCAGCTCCATGGCATGTAACAAAACATAAAACTATTATACACTGTAACTTTATTGGGAGGAAGTTCTGTTAACTCTACCCTACATACCTCAGGACATGTATTACTAGTACTGTTCAGGTAATTCCAGTAATCATGTTTGATGGTGAAGCAATATGGAAAACCCCTAAGGAAACAGGATGCAGAACACATAAAAGCTTGAGTGATGCAATAAGGCTTTTAAATGTCTGAGAACACATCTGTCGTGAAATTACCTATACAATGAACCCAGACAACTTAGACCCTTTCCACACAGCTGAATAAAATCCCAAATGATCTGCTTTGAAATGGGTTATATGGCAGTGTGGACTCAGATAACCCACTTCAAAGCAGATATTGTGGGATTTTCTGGGTTATATGGCTGTGTGGAAGGACTCTTTTAAAAAGTAGTAAGAGCCACACACAGTTTTTGTATTCTGAGGTCATAGCAAATATATTTCATATACCTTCCAGTATGTGTTCTTTAGAAGTCAATGTAATGAAAATTACCAAACGTGGTCTCATGTCAATGCATGATCAACGTTCAGAAAAGTACAACTTCTTTGTCTCCATCAGCCTATGATAAGTGTCCAACTATTAACAAGATTAATATTATCTGCAAAAGAGTTGATTTAATTCAGAATACTTTGAGCAAAGTCTGTCATAGATATGGGTGAAACATCAGGAGAGAATGCTTCTGGAACATGGCCATACAGCCTGGAAATCTCACAGCAACCCAGTGATTCTGGCCATGAAAGCCTTCGACAACAAAACAATAAAATTATTATAATATTATCCACTGGTTAGCAGTGTTACCAGATTAACCATTAAAACTATAAAACTACAACAACAATCACAGACACAACATAAAAAATGTTGGTCTTGCATCAATCCTAATGTCTTAACTACTTCCATATTTCTGTCATGTGCCTGCTAGAATAACAAAGTCTTAAGTTGCTTCCTAAATGCTAGGAGTGGGGAGGCGATCTAATCTCACTGGGGAGGGAGTTCCACAGCCAAGGGGCCACTACCAAGAAGGCCCTGTCTCTCGTCCCCACCAATTACACCTGTAATTGTGGTGGGATTGAGAGCGGGACCTCCCCGGCCGATTTTAGTTTTCCCACTTAATGTTTCAGCTCAACTGCAGTATAGTTGGAAAATCTGTAAGCTTAACTAGACTGCAAGAAGACTTATGAGTGTGCAGTACAGCATTTCATAATTGCAAAATTTGCTTCCCACCTTCTTTAGGTATGGAGGAAGATACCATACAGGATGGGTTCTAACCGGTCTGCCCAAAGGACAGAGAAGAACAATAAACTGGATGTTTTCAAATCCCTCTTTAATCTTTCATAGTGCAGACTTTAAAAGAATGTAGCAGTTCAAAGACACTATACAAACAGACTTAAGTTGATTCAATCCATGAGGAAAATGTTAGTTGCTCAGACAATTTCTTTTGGCATTAAGTGCTAAAATATTACAATAATGCACGCATACATATTTTAATGGTTTCCAGCTGTAGTGATTTCAGCTACTACCATGGTTAAGAGGTCCATGCCCAGTGAGTACCTGCGAAACCAGATAAGTCAGGCAGACAGAGAAAAAACTTAATGACTCATATTTCAGATTGCTATAAATCTTGGTCATAATCTCACAATTTATCCTTCCACTTTTTGATACTTAACATTTTAAATGTCACCTTTCTAATCATTAGCAATCGTAAACTTTTGAAATAAATTGGAAGCTGGCCTTAGCATACTTGACAGGAGAATTAAAAAAAATAAAAACAAGAGGAATTTATTGATCTAGAAGTACAGAGGATTAAATAAAACTATGCATAACCTCTGTGTAGATCAGTGTTGCAAGCCAAGGTGGTGGGTTGCACTGAGGGTGAGCTGAGGGGTACTTATATTGTGAGTGGTGGGTTGTCTATGTATGTGTATATGTTTGTAATGTGTATTGTGGATGCATTACAATTTTAAAATAAAATATATTTAAAAATGAAAAAAAGAGGTCAGGATGGAGAAAAAAGCTCCCCAGGTTGAAGGCAATGCCGCAGAGGTTTATTACAATTTGCTCCAAAAGGATGCAAGTACAGTGATACCTTGACTTAAGAATTTAATTTGTTCCGTGACTGTGTTCTTAAGTCAAACCACTTATCTCAAAGCATTTTCCCCATTGAAATGCTATTAATTTGTCGTCCCCCCCCCCCCGAAAAAAAATCTCAATTTTTGTTATGTGTTCTAAAATAAGAAACTGTAATTTATAAATAACAAATAATGTATAAAATGTTCAGAGACAGGCAGTGCTTGTTTCCACCCAACCACTGTGGCAAGGGAGTACATCTGAGACAAAAAATGTCTTGGCCAGTGTACAGCAAGGCAAAACAGCATCATTTCTTCATACTGTAATTCCAGCCTCCCTCTCTTGCTCTCTTTCTCCCTCTCTCTCTTCTTGAAGCTAAACATACAGTACTCCCTGTTTAGATGAAGGCTCAGCTGCATCAGGGTGACCTGCAATCTCTGGAGTGGAATCTCCAGATTGAACTCCTCCCAGAAAGTTTCAGTTGTTTTCTTCATAAGACCAAGAGAACAGATCTTCACTCATGAATTCAGAGCTTCAATCAACAGTTTCATAGAACATCAGCACTGACTCTGTGGGTTTACTTCCGAATACCTGGAGCACCATCTTCTGGCAGTATGGTAACAGAAGTCGGAAACTGCGACTCCCTTTGGTTTTCCAAACATAGAGCTTGCCAAAGTTACTTTGCTGTAACACAAATTCTGAATATCTACTACAAAAAAGCAACATAATTCCATCTTTAATGTGACATCCTTTAAAATATTTAAACATAGGTATTGTGTTACATCTTAATCATTTTTTTTTCTCCTGGCTAAACATACTTAGTTCCCTAAGCTGCTCCATATTTTGTCAGGCACGGATAAACAAAACTGTGGATACTGGTAATGCTGATAATGGGGTTTATACAATATCTGTGCAACTGGATGAATTAGAGATCTCTGAGATAACACAACAGAACATATAACCTACAACACAATCCATATGAACACTGAGGTCAGTAACAATTTTATACTCTCCAAGCCTTTGGAAGTTTTTATATATAGTTCATATTTCCATCAACCTGCAGGTGTCACAGAATTATTGTTAGCTACCATTTTCTCAATGTGTCCCATTTCTTATCTATGTTATTTCTTATATTATATTATATTATAAAATTTATAATAAATGTAATACAATACTGCTACTAGTAATATATTTTATATTACATGTAATATTACTAATAATATTACAAATAATATTACAATATAATGGTATAGTACAATATAGTAATATTTAATACTGTACTATTCTAATAATATATTGCATGTATATATATATCTTGTAAGCTGCTCGGAGTCCCCTTCAGGGCGAGAAGGGCAGCATATAAATGTTGTAAATAAATAAATATGTGTTCTCTTGGGTCAAACTCCACTAGCTCATGCTATTATTATGGATGATGGAGCAAAGTGTCTGTTATATACATAAACTTTGGTTTTTTGCTGTTCTGAGCTCTCATAATAGTTTTACTGAGTAGAACACAAGGCAAACACAGTACTAATGACAGGACTCTTTTCTCTTACTCACATTTTAAAAAGTAATTCATAAGGTTGGTTTCAATATAGATTGATATTTTCAGTGATTGATATATTCCAATGACTTTTCTGGACTCTTTGAAACAAGTAACTCTTTTTAATGTATTGTCGAAGGCTTTCATGGCCAGAATCACTTGGTTATTGTAGGTTTCTCGGGCTGTATGGCCATGTTCTAGAAGCATTCTCTCCTGACATTTCACCTGCATCTATGGCAGACATCCTCAGAGGTTGTGAGGTCTGTTGGAAACTAGGAAAATTGGGTTTATATATCTGTGGAAAGTCCAGGATGGGAGAAAGAACTCTTGTTCTGTTCCAGGTAGGTGTGAATGTTCCACTTGGCCACTTTGATTAACATTTGATGGCCTGACAGTTTTTAGGGGTGGCTTGTTCCTGCCTGGGGGAATCCTTTGTTGCGAGGTGATTAGCTATTCCTGATTGTTTCTTCTCTGGAGTTTCTTATTTCTTCTAAATGAGAACAGTATAAGATAAGGATCATGTAAAAAGGGGCTTGCCAAATTGAAAGTTATGAATATGCCAAAGCAGTGTTATCAGGGTTAGTCAGGATAAATTACTGAATGTGATGTGTCAGCTTAATATAAGTATGTGAGTGTGTATTGCAAGAAAACCTTTCCCTAAACTACAATTGCTCTGATAGTCCCATGTGTGATATTTATACATTGTAGAACCCTTTGATCATAATTTCCCTCCACAACACCACCCCCTTCTATCCAATGGGTGGCTTTTCAGATGTTTATGGAGCATAACTTTCATCAGCCTGCCAGCCACGCCAGGGACAACAGAAGATAGAGGCTGAAATCAAACAACCCCTTGGAGAGCCACAACCTCCCAAATCCTGCAGTAAGCCAAAAAGAAGGAAAATTAATTCACTCAGAAAGAGACAACGGTTTACTTAAATAATCTTTAATGATGTATCATGCTGATGCTTGATAGGATTTCTAACACCACATATCAGCACAAACAAGCATAGAAGTCATCCAAATGACACAGAATTACCAGAGTGAAAAGGGTACAGTGATGGTCAGCAGGATACAAGTTCCATCTCCTACTGACAACAAAGCAAAAAACTAACAAGGCGCACATACCTTCAAGGTACCCAAGAAAAGCTAGGCAGGTTCTGGCAAGGAGGACAGAGATGGGGTGGGAGTGGGTCAGGGAGACACAATGTTCTTAGCATTGAACACAGTTGTGTTCCACTTGCTGGGCCAGACTAAAACTGTTTTTTTCAGAAATTACCGTTCTTTTACACCAAACAGTGTGGTTCATATTCGTGAGGCACACCTGCTGGTCACAAGACCTTCCCACCCCAGGCTCTCAGGGTACTCAGCAATATCTCAAACAAAAGCATGGAAATGCAGAGAAAATATTTCCTCCTTCCCAAACCATGGAGGTGGCATGCCAGACAGACAAAGACCCTGTAAAATGGGGGTTCCTTTCTCCCATGCACATGTATGCCCTCACAAGACAATATAAAGCACACATCAATTCCAGAGGTAGAATTCACACTGGAGGAAGATCTACCCAGTCTTGGCACACTCCACACACGACTCTAAGCAAGGCACTGGCTACAAGACAGATTTTGAGAATTTGGTCCACAGCAGCCTAGAGGGAGGGCACTGCATGTTCTCTGCTTACCTTGGAGACATTCCTCAATATCTGTCACTGTTGTCCTCAAAAGGTTTGCAAAATGCATTTTGCACGGAGCTAAAACTGCTTGTGACTGCAAGGACAGACATGTCTGATAGCAAGAGGGAGGCAGCCTTTAGGGAATGACCGCTGCTCTAGTTTTGGGCCTGAGTGGCACAAAGACTCTACAAAGCTTGTCTCCTACTCTAGGAGGGCAAATTCGTAAGGAATTCCCTATTACAGCTGGTTTGAAAGGACTGGTGAGGCTTTAAAAGCTGTACATGAGTTCATCATCAGAAATTTGTGGACAGTACTTTTAACAGGAAAGGCCTTATACTGGCTATGAGCATTTCATTGAGCAAAACTCAACATGCAAAGTGAAGATAGGTGTGGTCTCCTGCCTCTTACAGTGCCGCAATGACACAGCATCAGAAAAGGGCAGATGTTGCTGCAGGTTCCCTCTTCAGATGTATTATCAGCCAACATGAGGCTTTTTAGTCTGCTCCTAGAAAAGCAGCAATTTTGCTGGTAAGAAAACTGCAAGATTTCTATGGCTTTTATTCTTGCCAACAGTGAAAGAAGATACCTGTCTATATACGCATTATGCAGAAAGAGACACCTGACCAGAGGTTGTCTCCTCAACCTATGACAGTCAAGAAAAGGAGGTTGCCTTGGTGGTGAGTGCAAGCATGACAAAGAAAACTAGACATCCTCCCCAGACCCAAGCAACTGAGAAGCAACCTATATTCTGATAAAGAGGGTAGATGGGTGAAAAACTCTTCCTGTAGACACATGCATCAGGCACGAACCAGTGGCCAAAACAGAGAGGTGAGTAATCCTCCAACTTTTTAAAAAAGCAAACAAATGTGTTAAAAGCAGCTCCAGGGAGAAACATTCAGACAGTAGTGCTGGTATTATCACTACTCTTACTTCTGAACCATTTATTTAAAAAACCTCAATTCATTTCTCCAAACTGCTACTGTCTTTTACAACAAAAAACAACTTTACAGATTTACTGCAGGCTCCTGTGTTCCTTGTTCCTCACATAAGAGAATTCTGGAGGAACAATTAAGATCAGGGAAATTGGCTGAAACTGCTCTTCCCTAATCTAATGCCTTCCAAAGTTGTTGAACTACAGTCCCTATATTGGTATGCTGGCTGTGGGATTATGGGACCTTTAGTCCAGCTGCTCTAGAAGGTGCCAATGTAGGGAAAGCTGGGTTCACATTTTCCTCCTCTCTCCCTCCCTGATTTATTTAAACTGGAGCCATTGCAAAGCATAATTTGGAAATGTTACTTTTCCCCCAGAATCTGCCCAGTGGTCAAACCAGCTGGATGATCTTGAATCTAAAGTCCAGAAAAGTAACTTTTCAAAGCTTTGCTTTAAAGTTGTGTTTATGAAAGAAAAAAACTCAGAAGTGATCACAGGTTTTCTGCAGCAGATCCATTTTGCTCACAGGACAAAGGCAGTTTCCCCCATGTTGTATAAGCATCTTGGCTCCAAGGTTCAACTGCTGCATCTGATAGAAAGGAAGCAGCCTTAATCCTTCAGTTGCAGAACCACTGTTAGCTGACACCGCATTAATAAAGACATGCAACCATTTCTCATGTTACATGACTATAGCGAGTGTCAAAGAGATTCATAAAAGAAACACAATGGTTAAAAGTGACAGATATCTGGCACTCAAGTTTCTCTCTATTATATTGAGTGAGAATAGAGGTGTGCTCCCTTCTGCTCACAGTAATCTACCTCCTAAGGCTGGGGTTCAAAGGCTAGGGCTTTCCCTGAGCCAACGACACTAAAGGTTTGGAGCAGGGGTAGGTAAAGTGCAGCCTGCAATCAGTATGTGTCCTACAGGGCCATTTTTAAGGCCGATAGAGCCTTTTAGAGCCTTCCAGATCTGCTCTACCTTAATTTTATTTCCACTTTTAAGAAATTCTGCTTTCTGCTTCCGAAGGGTTCCAGGAGCAGTTTTTAGTCTTTTTCAAGGTCAGAGCATCTCAACCTATTTTTTCAGGGTGGTGGTAGTTTAGTGATCTGGGGTCCCTTGAAGGTTTTGGAGGCCAAAAACTGTCACCAAACCTTTCACCTTTTCCACCTAAGGCTCTTGTCTCTTGGCCATATCTCACTCACAGTGAGTGATTTTACTGGGTGATAGGAACTGTGGTGCTAGGCTATATTTCTTGGCGAAAGATTGCCTGAAAAGTTTCTTTTACTGGCCAATGGGAAATAGTAGCTAGAAACAGCCAAGGAAAATATATATGCAAGTCAGCAGAAGGTGGCATAAAAATGCTTTAGCTTCTGGCTTGACGAAATACACAGCCTCTCATTGCAAACATAACCAGGATACATGCTTACTCGCTGGTGTTTTGTTTTGCCTATGTGCAAGTGTGCACATGTGCTCTGAGCTCTCACAGGTCCCTGGGTCAACTTTTTCTATGACTTCTGAACTCAGCTCACAAAAAACACTTCCTGATCTTCCATCCATTCGCAGGAAGTTCTTTCTTTCTCCCCTTCCTAGATTTCATTCTAGATTCCAGTGGGAGTTTCGAATAATTTCCAACTCATGGTCTCCCTGTCCACAGATGGTCCTCTGCAGTTCCACTGAACTAATGTGAGTGCAACATAGTAGCAGCCAAGAAAAGATCACCAAGTGCAAACAAAACATTAAGGCTTTCACGGAGGAAAAGAGAGAGAAGGTAACGGTATGCTTTGAAATGGAAACACAACAGGAAATTAAAAGGGTCCATGGGGCAGGAGTGGGTGGATGTCCAAGTTCTCCTCATGCCTGCAAAATGGCTTCACCTTCATGGAGCTGAACAGGAGATTGTAATCCTTTAGCGAGCATCCAGACTGGAGCTCATAGTCAGAATGTCCTCCTCCTGGATGGTCTCCAACTCCTCTGTCTGCACAGCCTGAGTGATAAGAGTCAGCTCCTGGCAGAGTGTCTCATGGCGGTAAGCCACCCGGATGTCTGGGACATTGGTGCGCCGGATATCATTGCCCTCTGGTCCCTCCTTCATGTAGTTGGGCCCAAGCCAGTAGCTCTTTACCTGGACAATAAAATAAAGAGTCCAAACCATGATTAGATAAAGGGAAACTTTATGGTTTTTCTTGGTCCTTTCAAATAGCAGAACTCTCATAGAGCCTTTAACAAACATATAAATGTCCAGGACAAGGGACTTTTAAAAAAGCCCTTTAAAAATAAGAAAGGCCCAGGAGTATTTCTTTCCTCTTATATACAAGCAACAATCCCACCTGATCTATGACCCTTAAATGCTTCCCTCCACTTCTTATTTCATTGTAAGATTTTTTTTTTTGTGTTGGAGTGGGGAAACTATACACTTTTCTCTAGCAAAGGACTGCATATCATTTTCTTAATAGTAATGATGTCAAAGCCAGCCTCTATTTCCCACCATTATGTGTATCATTACTTTGAAATGTTATGGTTTGGACTAAAACCAACAGTGGCTGGGTGATTCTATGAATTGTCGTCTAGAAAGTAAATATTCAGTGCTTGAAGAGGTGGAATATGATGCCTCAACACAAGGATTCAATGTTGGAATTAATACAGCATGGGAGCTATGAGATGTATTCGGTAATTTGCAAGTACCCTTAGAAAACACTACTGATGTTGGAGAGAAATTTTATTGAATCTGCATCTTAGTTCCTATAATTGTGCCACTAGCTTTATTGCCTCTAGCTATTTGTTTAGTTAATTTTCCTTCAGAATAGAATTTGAAAGTAAATGCATTCCAGCACTTCTTTTATACTCATTCTGTAAACATGAACTCCTATCTAGCCATAAAACACACTTACACATGGAAGGAAACTAGAAAGAAGTCTGGGGAAGCCTAGCATTTTAGGGAGATACAAACTTCCATAAGAAAAAAACCCTTCTAAAGCAGTGGTTCTCAACCTTTCTAACACCGTGATCCCTAAATATGGTTCCTCATGTTGTGGTGACCCCAACCATAAAATTATTTTTGAGAGTCAAAGGCAGGTGAGGGTGGCTTTGTGCAGGGCCGTAGCCAGAAAAAAATTTCGGGGAGGGTTGACAATTTCGGCAGGGGGGGGGGATTGAAAATTTCGGGGAGGGTTGAAATTTCGGGGAGGGGGGGGGGTTGAAACCTGTCTCCTAGCTCACGCTGAAGCAAAGAGCACAGCAGGGGGCAGAACAACCTTCAATAGCCTGCAGCTCCACCCCTGTCAACCACCTCCACCAAGTCTGGCCTCCTTAATGAGAGCATTCAACACCCCCCAACTTGCTTGCTTCGCTACATCGGCTATTGCTGCAAGTAATGACAGTGTGAATAAATTGTCAATATTTGCTTGAGATAGTGCTTGCAGTTCTGGAGGGACTCTTAATTTTTTGCATCTCATAGACTTAGCATGGGGATTTGGTTAACCAGTTAAAATTCATGAGTAAACCAGGTTTTTTTAAAAAAATCTGAAACATTTCGGGGGGGGGTTGAACCCCTAAAACCACCCCCTCGCTACAGGCCTGGCTTTGTGTGAGGCCAGGCCTCATGCAAAGGAGCCCCCGCCTAGTTCTCACTCTTGCCGGCTGGCGCAAGGCAGGCAAGGGCTCTGCTCTAGGCCTGGCCTTCTGCAAAGCCTTGGGGGGCAGGGCCAAAGGAGGCGGCCTCGTGAACCCTCTGAAATGGCCAAACGACCCCCAGTCTTATTTGTAGGTTTTAATGCATTTTATTAATTTTATAATTTTATTAGATGGAGTTTTATGCATGTTAGTTGTCTATAGACTTAAGCATTGTTGTATATGCTTAAGTAAAGGTAAAGGTTTCCCCCTCTGACATTAAGCCCAGTCATTTCTGATTCTGGGAGGTGGTTCTCATCTGAATTTCTAATGTTTTCGAACTGCTAGATTGGTAGAAGCTGGGGCTAACAGCAAGAGCTCACCCCGCTCCTCGGATTTGAACCTGCGACCTTTCAACCAGCAGCTCAGTGGTTTAATCCACTGCACCACCGGGGGCTTCCCTGTATATGCGTAAGTGTTGTCTATTTTATATGCAGCACCTTGAAGTGCTTCTGTAAGTCACCCTAAGTATCTTCAGGGAGATAGTGGTGGGGTAGAAATAAAATTTATTATTATTATTTATAATTGAGGTTGAATGTTTCCTATGAGTGTCTCATTTGGCTGTGAAATGCTAGGAAAAGGACTGTTTGGGTGATAAGGAGAATTGTGGTGTTTAAACCTAATGATCTGCAGTGGGGACACTGAGAGATCAGAAAAGAAGGATCCAGTGAAGCAATAGACTTTGTTTCTCCCTTCCCCAAAAGGCAATGAAGATGAACTGTTATTATACAGGGAAAAGGATCACAGGCTTTCTCTGATCATCATCCCAGCTGCTCTGTTTTTCAAGCCCCAGTTTGTCATGTTACAAAGAGCTGAATCCAACTTCTTATCCCAACTTGAGTAGACTGACTTAGGTCAACATAGAGGTAAGTACCACTGATTCAATGTGCTCACTTTGGTTGGAATCAAAAACTGTATTAAGCTCAGAAATATTCTGAGAAAACCACTACTGAAACAGATGTGCTTGCATGCAAAAGTTTTACTGGCTATGAAGTCCCAAAGAGACCCTCAGTTTCAGAAGTCACACGGGGTGTACCACCAGTGCTTACAATTACATAGATCCCTCACCTTTCAATTCAAGACTATTAAATGGTGAATACAATGAATGTGTGCTCTAGATTTGAGTCAGAATTTTAAAGAAGCTACTGAGGATGATGAACTTATTTTAGGGACAGGATTCAGCACCTTGGATAGCTCCTCTAGGGCTCAAGAGTAAAAAGCTGGGGCAGATTTGCCATCCTACTGAAGTAGTAGCTCCTCCTGATTCCAATGTGGCATCAGGTTATGAAATCAATCTCTTTGAGAAATGATTCAACTTTTACCTTGTGGGAGAAGCCACTCATGAGCACACTGTTGCGTGCAAGTTCGCACATGTCACAAGAGCTGAGCTTCCACACCTGTGTGGCAATGCTGTATTCCTCCATCAGGGGCTCCTGTAAGAGAGACATTGTCCATCAGATTGGTTAATAGATGACAACAAATAAACACATGCAGAGTAGTAGCTAGCAGACAAAAATCCAAGCCACTTGCAAGAATGCTTAAAACTAAGTATAGATATATGCAGTCAATGCCAAAAAAGCATTTCACATCCAAACAAAATGAGAAAATACGAATTAACTTCCCTGGCAGTACAGCTTTATTATATTGTTGCTGACTGCAAACTCAACCACAAAGCACATTCAAAAGCTTGGAAATACTAGTTTTGGACTACTGCCAATATGAGAGATTCTGAGAACTGTAATATAACAAAAGAAAAAAAAACCTCCATAATCTTTCCATGCAAATTCTGTTCAACACTTCAGGCCACATACAAACCTTGAATGTTCTACTACTGGACAGAAATGAGCTCAATGAATAGGTCACTAGGTGGCAGCATCTCTACTGTCACCATCAACACTGAAGAGTTGAGAGCAACAGATGGTAGGTTCTGCCCCAAGTGTACAGCACATTATGTACTTGTACAAACAGGAACAAAATCTGAAAATTATGTCTCCAGAGAAATGTACGTCAAAACATGAAAAAGGCTAAAAAGGAGGAGAATAAATAAAATTCTGTCTGGGTAACAACTGCTGAACAAATTTCTGCCCTCTTCCATAAGACATAGGCTGACCCATGATATTCTACTAGCAAAAATGAAACAGCCCCCAAACTCCAAAGTCAACAAACACAGTGTCCTCAGCAGACCAAGTGCTTTGGTTCCTGAGACAAAGCACCCCATAGTTCCTTCTCACCCTCCTGGTTGTAAAAATGCAATAGTAAATGAAATAATAAAACATGTTTTTCTCCTTTCCTAAAACTCAAAATCAGCAGCTAAGGGGGGCATCTCACTCTGCTTTGGGCACAAAACAAAAAAATCTCAGATCTGAGTCAAACTCTAGAAGTTATTGGACATGAAATATATTGTGGAATAAGCTAGGCTTTTAAAAACAAAATGGAACTAGACTATAGGCACTTAATATAAAAAGAAGGAGCTGATGCTCAATATAAGCAAAGGAGGCTGAGCAATTTTTAAATTGATCCTTTCATGATTTGTGCAATGCAGGTCTGACAAGAGCCTGCATTCCACTATTCGTTCCAATTGAATTAGCCCTGGAAGATGAAGGCTTCTGATTATTCAAATGGAAACTGTGCAACATTAGACCAGTATATGTTTACTGTTCAGTAAAGTATGCAGCTGGACAAACAGTCCAACGGGCTGCAGGGGAAAAAACACATAGTAGAGAGGTTTGGGTAGAGACCTCATATAGATTTTCCATGTCATGAAAAAGAAACACTTGGAATACTGGACCAAGACCCTAAAGGACAGGTGGAGAAATGCATGCAACTCATGAAACCCACATTTTTTAAAAAGTGCAACTTTCAGACAATTTTTGTCTGAGAACTACAGAGAAAGACCCTCCCAATCTCTACACAAAACACAACTTTTAGCCCCCCTCCCCCACTTCTTTTTTGATGCTGTCCTTCTCAAAATGGTGACAAGAAGTGGTCTGACCCTGTTGTCATCCCTCCATCTCTCTCATGCCATCTAGCTCAGGCATGGGCAAACTTTTTTGCCCTGAGGCCATATTGTAAGTCTGGCTGGGGGGGGGGGGGGCAGGACTGAATTGGGAGGGGCTGATCATCCTTGGGCTGTCCTCCCAGCATAAGGAAAGGGCTACTCACATCCTTATGCTCCGAGGAGGGTGAGGCAGGCAGTGTCTGAAAGGGCTCCACAGCCCTTTCAATCACTGTCTGCCTTCCTGACTCCAGCTGTTTTCTCTGAAAAAGATGGGGTTCCCCCCACTTCCATCTGCTGAGAGAAGGGCAAGGCAAGAGGAACTAGCTGAGAGGAGGAGACAGCTATTGCTAAGAGTTTTTGCCTGCTGCGTGTTTCACTCTGGGGGTCGTGGGCCGCTGCTTCCACATGTTGAGAAGAGGGCTGAGGGAGACAGGGGCCAGAAATGAGACCCCAAAGGGCCTCTTCTGGCCTGTGGGCCTGTGTTTGCCCATGTCTGATCTAGCTGCATGAAGACTGTCGGTCACCTTCCACTCCACAAGGCTTTGTGCTGCTCAAGGGAGTATGATGGTTATGGACAGGGTGAGCAAAAATACAGAATAGACTCTTGTGCCCTGTTCAAATTAAAACATTATTGCATGTTAGGTAAGGTAAAGGTTTTCCTCCGACATTATGTCCAGTCGTGTCCGACTCTGGGGGTTGGTGCTCATCTCCATTTCTAAGCTGAAGAGCCGTAGACATCTCCAAGGTCATGTGACCGGCATGATTGCATGTAGCACCATTCCCTACTGCTGGAGCTGTACCTATTAATCTACTCACATTTGCATGTTTTCGAACTGCTAGGTTGGCAGAAGCTGGGGCTAACAGTGGGAGCTCATGCTGCCCCCCAGATTCGAACCTGCGACCTTTTGGTCAACAAGTTCAGCAGCTCAGTGCTTCAACCCACTGCGCCACCAGGGGCTTATATACTAGTACCAAGAGGCTGGCCTTCATTTTGCAGAAAACTAGGTATCAAGGAAACTTGGCAGAATGCAGAGAAGAAAGAGGATTTCACAGGATGGACCAGAATGACATGAACTTTATGCAATAATATGGGCAAGCAATGTGTGGCACTGGGGCTGCAGGCAGCCTTTAAAGGCTATTTTTTGAAGTATTCACCTCCTCATTGACCAATAGGAACTGCCGCCTTAATGTATATTTTATCAGACTATACTAGAGAACAGAAATGTACATTGATAGATGTTCTAAAGAAAAGTGGAACAATGTTTTAACATGCACTGGCCTATTTACATTGCAATGGTATTAATTTTCAATGTAACTGCAGAAGGATGCTTAAATGTACTTGCTTCTGTGTATTAGAATATACAAAATTAATCAAATGTGACTCATGCAATTTTCAGCCTTGCTAAGCTGGCTGATTTTTTTTTCTTTCTTGTAGGTTGTTCCCAAACAAGTTGGAGAAATGCACAAAAGAAACCACATGTAACAGAAAGGACCAAAAATATTTTACTTGCAATAGTAGAATCCTTTTTTAGATTAGATGCTATAGGAAGATGGGGACAGCCTGTTGTCCCCATGCCAATTCTCACAGGGCTACACCTTTATTTGGCTGCAACTATGTTGCACTCACCTTAGTGAAGTGAAATTGTAGAGGATCATCTGTGGACAGGGAGACCATGAGGCCCCGAGACAGGTACTCTGGCAGTGGGTTGCGGTGGTAGCTCAAGAACAGACTGTTATTGCTAAGTGGAGACATGGCAATGCCAATCTGGGCCAGATAGTAGAGGTACTGGAGCACAGGTGCCTATGGAAAACTCAGGGTTAGACAAGACCTCCTACAATTTTTGAATTTCATCTCATGTAGCAGGAATATATGAGTTTCCCCTCCTTCATCATATCCAGAAGGTTCTTTCAACTTGCTCAGAAATTTCTTTATGATACAATATTAACTGTAGTATTTAGACAGAACAATAACAAACATTCATATAATCATAGAGTTGGAAGAGACTCCATGAGCCATCCAGTCCAACCTGTTGCCAAGAAGCAGGAAAATTCTACCTTCATTACCCCATAGCTTCTGCTTAGGTTCACAGCAGCTTTGATGTTTGTCCTAACTATTGCTTATTCTGTCTGATGTTAGCTCTCTGAAGACTTACATTTAGGTCCTTATCACCATCTTACTCTTTTCATCAGAGCTGGCAGATATGTGAGATGCTGGAGATGTCTAATAGAAATATGTGCATCTATATGCACACACGTGCTCTTGTTTTCATCTACAAACAAACAAGCATCTTAAGAACTAGTAGGTTTTCTCTGGTCTAATAATACGTGAATTGCCACCCACTTTCATGTGTGGCACCAGATTCTGTCTAATTAGTACTTAAATGGAAGACTAAAGGAATACCAGGAGCTGTCAGCTGTAATTTAGAGGTAGGCAATGGCAAATAACCCCAGAGTATTCACTGCCTAAGAAAACCTTATGAAACTGATGAGTCGCCATAAGTTAACAGGCCTTTTGAAAGTAAATACACACATACCATGTAGTACCACACATATTTTTCACTATCTCACCTTTCGCAGCAGGAGGCCATGCGATATGTTTTCTGTCAGCATGAAACCTGACACCAGATGATGGATGGGTCCAGCCTCCCCACAGTGGGGGCGCAGCACCAAGGTGTGAAAGCCTCTCTTCCTAGAGAATGAGAGGGAGAGAAGCAAAGCTTAGTCAATGCCATTATCTCAATAAACCATGATCTTATTTGTGGAGATAATAAAGCAAAAGGATAAGAAAAGAAACTGAAACCAAGAAGAGAGAGTTAGAACACCAAATATGGCACCATCAGAACTCAGCATTATGATTTTCCAATATGCCACTGTCTAGCATGCTGCATGTAGAGCTAAGGAAATATGCTTTGAGAGTCTCAAGTATGCGTGTCCCATTATGAATTGCAAAATGGAGAAAGAGATAAAAAGGGTAATTTACCTGCGGAGATGATTCAGTACCACCATATTGGCATACGTGTAATAAAGGTAGTATGAATAGGGTGGGTTGTCTTCTTCCACCCAATTGCCTGGTAAGGGGCTATCCAAGTTGAAGATGTGGTGTTCTGGTTTGGACTCATCATCCACACTGTCAAAGCCATCTACCTGCAAGTCCAAAACAAAAGGAGAGAGATATTGAGAAGTAGGCTCCATTCGGCTTCAAAGATACTTCTGAATTCTCTTGCTCCAGATATCATTGCAAGGATATTCATCAGGATTACCAATATCATCAGAAAGAGCAACCAAGTCACTCACTTACAGTAATTACAACAGAGACATCCACAAGAAAGCAGATGTTCTAATGCTGCAAGACCTGGTATTTAAGTGCATTCCACTTTGGCAAAGTTAGCTAAGCTACATTTGTATACTGCTCTTCTTCTTTCTTTCTTTCTTTTTTTCTGTCTTCCTTCCTTCCTTCCTTCCTTCCTTCCTTCCTTCCTTCCTTCCTTTCTTTCTTTTGTTTATTTACACCCCGCTTTATCTCCCCCGATTTAACAATTTAAAATATCCAAATATACAAACATTAAAACAGGATTAAATATAAACAGTACAATAGTGTCTTGCTTATCCAACATAAATGGGCCAGCAGAACGTTGGATAAGCAAAAATGTTGGATAATAAGGAGGGATTAAGGAAAAGCCTATTAAACGTCGGATTATGTTATGATTTTACAAATGAATGCTATGTAGTAATTACTGTATTTACGAATTTAGCACCAAAACATTGCAATGTATTGAAACAGGTGTGGAGGCAGGGTGGGAGGCAGTCTGCGTTGGAGAATACAGAATGTTGGATGAGTGAAGACTGGATAACCGAGACTCGACTATATTAAAAAATTCCAAGTTAAAAACTATTAAAACAAATTATTCACTCTGCTCCAAATGCAATAGCCGCCCCTGCCAGTTCCTTCTCAAATCTTGGATGATGCTGCTGGCATTTCTGTCAAACACTTACATGCTCCAGGAAAAGATGCAATTCTGGGTGGCTTGCAGGATGGATTGTAGCTTCAAAGAGAGGCAGGAAGATGTTTTCCAGCATCTCCTGGAAATTGGCCAACTGCTTTTTGGTCTTGTATACATCACTGTTGGAAACAGGGATGTCATTAGCTGAGGTTCAAAAAACTTGCAACCACATTGCTCCACCCAGAAATCTCCCCTTTCACATGTCTTTTGGAACTCAAATTCTCAATCTATTAAACACACACACCATTCTGCTTTCATTGCACTGATAGCCTAGTGATTAACAGACACAGATAATCCTACTTCGCGTTCGGAGAATAAGCTAATACGGAATTTGACCTCAACAATTTGGACTACGGACTAACTAATAAGTATAAAATCATGATTCAGCACTTTAGGTTTTAATATGTTATGTGTTTTAATCTGCTTTATTGTATTATGTGTTTTATTTGCTCATCTGTTTGATGGTTTTATAGTTTGATAGGGTATGTTTATTGTTATATTGGTTTTATTGTTATGCCTATGATGCAGCATTTTGCTGGAGTTTGTAAGCTATCTTGAGTCCCCTGCAGGGTGAGAAAGGCAGGGTATAAATGATGTAAGTAAATAAATAAATAAACAAACACTTTGCCCATAAATTTGCTAGGACACTGGTTCTGCCTTTGGTCTTCCAGATGTTTCAAACTACTGGCCATATTGTCTGGGGCTTCTAGGAGTTGAAAACCCAAACAACTGGAGATCCAAATGTGAAAAACTACTGTACAGGTCAGTCAATGCTTAGGCAAGTTATACATACCTCTTAGATTTAATCTGCTCCGAAATACTGGTAGATACCAAGTCTGAGTACAGACAACTAAAACTTCTACAAATTGTCACATATTGTCAGTCACTGGGACTAACACAGGTATTCCTACTACAGCTAGTATCACAGCAACACGGGATAAGCTTAACGTAAAGTGTTACCAGCAAATAATACAATGGAATAGTTGTGAAGATTTGGATAGAGGCATCGCCTCTGAGCAACTTAAGGATTCTAGTTATATCAGGAGATGCAGAGAACAAGTAGCCAGTGTTTAACCAACTCCTCTTTTATGTATCTTTCCTGGAATGAGTTGCAAAGCAAATTAAGATGAACATATTTAACTAAAAAGATGAGTGTGAAATTTTCTTCAATGATGTTTCTTTAGCAATGCTGTCATATGCTTAAGAACTTGATCCAAACAATTCAGGGGGAAAAGTATAACCATAAATGATGGAAGTCTCTATCTGCAATGGTTCTGATCAAGGGAAAGTTATTTTAATTTACTGTTGCTATTTTTTGTGGGAAGAAAGAGCTGGGATTCAGACTAGATTTTTTTAAAGATCAACTTCATTTTAAAAACTAAATGTAAAGCAGGCCATTATTATACCTAGTGTTAGAATGGTTGTATTTCCTCTTATCTTGTGCAGGAGGCATAGTTCTTGTTTCTTACAGACTTTCTCTATAAGTGCATGCTTCGTATTTCCCCCCCTCCAGGACACTCCTAGTATGCTTTGCTAGTTATTCTGGAACCTTTGGGAGGAAAACCCTAAACTAAAAAATGGCATATGATACAGGATATAAAGACAATGTTTGTGAGATAGGTTGGACACTTTAAGGCACTCTTCCCCAAAACTTTAACCTTTGTATGTTTGGACTGAAACTTCAATCTATGCTCAGTGGGTAAGAAAGAAATGATAGGGATGTAGTCCAAAACATCTAGAGGCAGAGGCGGCCCTAGGTAATTTTCAATGGTAAGCAAACAGTATTTTGCACCCCCCCCCCAACCAATCACTTGATATATATTTTCTGTTGTCGTGGGAGTTCTGTGTGCCATATTTGGTTCAATTCCATCATTGGTGGAGTTCAGAATGCTCTTTGATTGTAGGTGAACTATACATCCCAGTAACTACACTTGCCGCACTTGCTCCCTTGCCTGGCCCGCTTTGGGTCCGGAGGCGTGCCTGAAGACCCCGGCGTGTGCACCAAAAGTCACCTCTTCTCCTGACTTTCTCCTCAGCCATTGGGACCGAGAGAGAGAGAGAGAGACAGAGGTGGAGATGCCCACCTTTCCTGAAGGTAGGCGCAAAAACAAAGGAGGGAGCGGAGGTGGGAGATACCTCCAGCTGGAGGGGCTCTCTCTCTCTCTCTCTCTTGGTCCCAATGGCTGAAGAGAAAGTCAGGAGAAGAGGCGACTTTTGGTGCGCACGCTGGGGTCTTCAGACACGCCTCCGGACCCGAAGCGGGCCAGGCGCGGCGGCTCCGCCCCTTGGCCCACCCGGAAAGGGAGCCTTTCATGGGGAAGCGATCGAACACGGAGAACGATTGAGCGGCGGCTCTGCTCGCGCACCCGGTGGCCAGGTGGAGCAGGAACAAGAGGGGCGAGGCGAGGCTCAAGGGCCCGACCCCTTTGGGAAGAGGATCCCAAGAAAGCCGAGGCTCCCCCCGAACTGCTAGGGCTGTTGTGAGCTGAGGGGGCGCTCCTCAAGTGGCGGTCGAGGGGCATTTACAGAGGTGCCTCTGCGCCCCTGGCAAAAAAAGTGTTCTGCGACCGCTTACTTCGCGTAATGGACGAGCCGCCCCTGTGTGTGGATGATTATGCTATGATTCTATGATGGGTGAGCTCAAGATTGGCAGGCAGGTCATGATGGATTTTCCATAAGTATATGCTCCTACAGCACTCACCAGCCAATCCCTCTCCAATGCCAGAAATACAGCTTAATGATGTAACATTAGAAAATGTTGACTATTTCCGCTACCTTGGAAGCCACCTCTCTACCAAAGTCAACATCGACACCAAAATACAACACTGCCTGAGCTCTGCGAGTGCAACATTTTCCCGAATGAAGCAGAGAGTGTTTGAGGACCGGGACATCCATAGGGATACCAAGGTGCTTGTTTATAGTCAAGGTGGCCAATTGAAACATTCACACCTAGCTCCAACAAACAAGAGTTCTTTCTGCCACCCTGGACTTTCCACAGATATATAAACCCAATTTTCCTAGTTCCCAACTGACCTCACAACCTCTGAGGATGCCTGCCATAGATCCAGGTGAAACGTCAGGAGAGAATGCTTCTGGAACATGGCCATACAGCCCGAAAAACCTACAGTGACCCAGTGATTCTGGCCATGAAACCCTTTGACAATACATTGAGGAAGTCTGTTCTAAAATAATATGTCATGAATATCATCATATGTAAAGCAGTTTTTCCTTCACACCTTGTACCAGAGGAAACTATTAGGTTATCTTGCCCTGTATCTGCAGTTTTGGGGTCATGGTGAATTTCCCAGATCTCAGGCAGAGATACTTGATTTTTTTTTTAACAGGAGATGCCAGGAGATACTGGGCATCTTCTGCAAATCTAAGTATCCCTGAGCTATAGTCCAACCCTCACATTATGTTTAGGTCTGCCTCCTATTCATAAGCTTCCTTGAGGAAATTCTGGTTTATTCCACTTTCTTGGTCAGAAGGATCTCAGCATGTTGCAGGCCATGCACAACATTAATAAGATAAAGCCTCCTTGCATTTGCATTGTCAGCTAGGAAAAAAAATACTCCTCCCCGCTTTCTCTCTTTCTATTCAAACAGAAAGGTTTCAGACACCCTTCCCTCCCCCAACCAGTGAAACAGGTGTTCTGCTTAGGACATGCAACCCTATCAGCATTGCTTGCAAGTTGTGTTGACAGTGTAGCTGGGCAGCTAAGCTTCAAGGGTGCTCCCTCAATAAGCTAGGATTACAAACATGGCTACGGCCAAATATATGGCTCTAACAACAGGCAGATGAACAGGCCTTTAAATTTTGCCTCAATATGTTTTGATCTCCCTTGGTGCTGGAAATGAAAAGGAAGCTACTTGTGGTTTTAAAACTCTGTGAGCCGAGGAATAATTGGATGTATTTCTGTAACATGCAGTTTACTTTTCAATGATAATATGATAAGAGCCGCTTGTACATTCTGTTTCCTTTGCCTTATTATCAACATTATAACAACAGAAAAGGCAATACTAGTCACATGTGCCTTGGAGAAACCCTCGCTGAACACAACGTGACTTACTCCTGAGTGGACTCCCATTATTGTCTATTAAAGGGATACTAAAAAATGAGGAAAGGTAACACACATTCATGGACCAGTTCTGAGTATGTCTACTTAGAAGTAATTCCAACAAACGTTCAATGTATTGTCAAAGGCTTTCACAGCTGGAATCACTGGGGTGCTGTATGCTTCACATGTACCTGTGGCTGAATCCTCTGAAGATGCCATCCACAGATGCAGGTGAAACATCAGGAGAAAATGCTGCTAGAACATGGCCATGCAGCCCAGAAACCACACAACACTCCATTTCCCACAGAATTCAGAGGGATGAGGCAAGTGTGCACAGAATGTCAGTCTGGGGCCCCATCACACTAGAGGAAAAAAAATCCACTTAAAATCTGGTTGCTGCCTCCTGCTGAATTCTGTAGTTTAGGAAGGAGCCTTTAACAGCCTCACTACAAATCCCAGAATTCTGCAGGAGGCGGAAATTGGATTTTAAGTGGATTTTTTTCCTCTAGTGTGATGGATGGTCTAACCTTAAGAATACCTGCTTTAATAGGGCTGTTTTCTGGACGGAAGGGTTTTACTTCTGCAGTAACCATTTCCACAGGATTTCAGGATATGGTTGATTTAAGACTAGAGTAAGGTATTGTCTAGTTTATAATAAAGTAGCAATGAGCCCTGATGAACCAACCTGGGCACAGCATATTATTTGAGAACACAGAAATGCTGGACCACTCTAACAACCAACATGGCAGACTACACAGTTTTTTGGTGCCTGGAAGAATCTTTTGTTGAGAGCTGATTAGCTGTCCCTGATTGCTTCCTCTCTGGAGTTTCCCTGTGTTTGAGTGTTGTATTGCTGTTATAATTTTAGAGTATTTTTAGTACTGGTAGCCAGATTTTGTTCATTTTCATTGTTTCCTCCTTTCTGTTGAAATTGTCCACATGCTTGTGGATTTCAATGGCTTCTCTGTGTAGTCTGCCATGTTGGTTGTTAGAGTGGTGTCCATTGGACAATTTCAACAGAAAGGAGGAAACCATGAAAATTGACAAAATCTGACTACCAGTATTTTTTAAAAAAAAAAACCCTCCAAAATCAGGACAGTACATAAAGAGCAACACTCAAAAAACAGGGGAATTCCAGACAAGAAACAATCAGGACTGGCCAACACCTCCCAACAAAGGATCTCTCCAGGCAGCAATCAGCCAGGCTTTGAAGCTGCGATGCCATAAAATGCTAATTAAGGTGGCCAATTGCAACATTCACACTTGCCTCAAGCAGGCAAGAGTTCTTTGTCCTACCCTGGACATCCCACATAAATATAAACTCCACCTGCCTAGATTCCAACAGGCCTCACAACCTCTGACGGTGCCTGCCATAGATGTGGATGAAACGTCAGGAGAGAACGCTTCTGGAACATGGCACAACCCAGTGATTCCTCTTTGACAACACATTTAGCAGCGAGTATTTGCAAATCTCTTTTTAAAGTAATATATAACTACTCCCCCGCCCCCAAGAAAAGCAGTAATCTCTCCCAGGTAACTAAAACAAAATATTTGTTATTATGTACAGATAGAATAATACTTGGGCAACTGGAATATAAACAGGAAAAGAGGAAGATGAATTGATTTGCATTACAGATGAAAGGTTTCAGTCAAGGAAGCTGTGGCCCTGAGTTTGCAAAACGTGAGTAGGGAAGTCAGTGATCAGGCTCTTTGGAGCTTTTGGATTCATAGTGTCATCATGAGACAAAGCTGATTTAATAACAAGCAGCAACAACAAAATTGTCTGCAATTGTCATTCAGGAGTAGGTGGTCAATCATGTCATGTTCTAATTTGCATGTGGTGGTGTGCGTATGAGTAGTGTTTCCCATAAGGTTAAGCTAGATCATTTCTAGAGGAAACTGACTTCAACTCAATGTAAGTTGGGCATTGAATCTGCCCAGGTATTTATCTGAATTTAAAGGAGTGAATCAGAGTGCTTAGGCCTATTATAGAACAGACTTATATTTAACAGCTTCTTTAAAGTTATGACTAAAATAAGAGCAGTTTCACAACTCAACTGATACTGAAACCACTGCTTTAATCCACATGTTTACACCATAGCAGATTTGATCAAGAAAGCCATTGCTCTGTTTTGAACAATTCAGCAGGGTTGTTGAGAACTGGGGTTCAGAAAGTCTCTCAGTCATAGGTTTGCCAGCAAGTTAAAGCCAACCTGATGACAAATAACAACAATATTCTGGAATAAGCAGTTGGGACTTTTCGTGCCAGTCCAATGAAATAGGTATCTCCACCTTGTTTCCCACAATGCAGGGACGTGGTACTCACAAGAGACGTGGCACCTGCACAAGCCAGCGCACATTGTTGGAATGCACCTTGTGTGTCACAGCCCACTTGGCTAACTTGTCCCACTCATCTCGAGATCGGCCATAGATGGAGAGACGTAGTTCTGCATTCTGGTACTTACTCTCTTCTAGGTCAGACATCACTTCCTGCCAGAAAAGAATGTGTTTGTTAGTCTTAGCATTTTTGCAGATGAACAAGCTTGGAAAGGAAGGTAGCGCAGCAAGCATTCTTATGAAACACGCACAGATACATCTTTCATTACTTTGCTCTGGAAACAAAATTTGCAGTAGGTGCCATGAAATCTATACAGAACCCTTTCATGTGACATGTGTTTAAAACAGAACATTTCATTTGCTTACAACTCTTCCATTTGGCTTCTAAAACATAGAATCATAGAATGATAAAGTTGGAAGAAACCTCGTGGGCCATCCAGTCCAACCCCCTGCCAAGAAGCAGGGATTCAAAGCACCCCCAACAGATGGCCATCCAGCCTCTGTTTAAAAGCCTCCATGGAAGGCGTCTCCACCACACTTTGGGGTAGAGAGTTCCACTGTTGAACAGCTCTCAGTCAGAAAGTTCTTCCTAATGTTCAGGTGGAATCTCCTTTCCTGTAGTTTAAGGCCATTGCTTTGTGACCTAGTCTCCAGGGCAGCAGAAAACAAGCTTGGACATCGGTTTCCAGGTGGAAGGTGGTCCCAGTCAGGGCTGACTTGACACTTCTTCCTCTTGGCACGTTTCTCAGCCTTTTGGCTAAGATCAAGTGAAGTTATTATTATTATTATTATTCGCCCCCAGTGGCACAATGGGTTAAATCCTTATGCCAGCAGGACTGCTGACCAACAGTTCATAGAATCATAGAGTTGGAAGAGACCTTGTGGGCCATCCAGTCCAACCCCCTGCCAAGAAGCAGGTCAGTGGTTCGAATCCGGGGAGAGCAGGTTGAGCTCCCTCTGTCAGCTCCAGCTCCCCATGCAGAGACATGAGAGAGATATGAGAGAAACCACAAGGATGGTAAAACATCAAACATCCAGGTGTCCCCTGGGCAATGTCCTTGCAGATGGCCAATTCTCTCACACCAGAAGCGACTTGCAGTTTCTCAAGCCGCTCATGATACACACACACACACAAATATCATCAATATCATAATCATCATCATCATTTATAGCCGCCTTTCTCCTCATGAAGAGTCTACTCAAAGGGTTGGGCACCTTTGGCCATTCAGAGGCTTTAGCCTGCAAATTCCATCAGCCTGACTCAAGAACAGCCACTGCCAAGGCATAGTGGGAGTTAAAGTTCAAAATATGTCAAAGACAAATGCCATAGTAGGCAGATACATGAATTATTTCTAGCCTACTGAATCTAAGAAGGGGTGAGGATTCTGAAACTTAGAATGTAATCGGATCTACATTCCCTCCTGACAGAAAAGCAAAACTGCACACCTATTGTGCGATGAATAAAAAAAAAATCAGGGTGAAATCGGAATCTGCTGCAAGTCTTCATTTTCTTTGTTTAAGTACAGAAACTGCTGCCAGATAGAAATTTTGGCAGCTTAAGAATTCAAGCTCTTTCAAAAGACATAACAAAGTAGCGAACAATCCCTCATAATTACAGGGTGGGACAGAGCAGGAGTGTACAAACATGCAAGACTGATTTAGTAACGGTCCCAAAATTAAACCATACACTGAAATGGACCTAAAATGGTCTTTACAATGGACTAGAGCACTTTAGTAATGCTACTGAAAACAGGTTGTCCTACTGTACTTCGTGGCCATTATGGTACAGTTAAGAACAACTAACAGCCAAATGCGTAAAACCCAATTTTTAACTGTGACAACTATGTGAGATGTTTTATTATTGATAATGCTTTTAAATGTATCTGTTTAGTGATTAGGTGTTCTATGTTTTTATCTTGATATTTAATTTTATTTGATTAGTATAATGTTGTTATTATTTCATATTATATTTACTGCTATAATGTTTTGGTGTATGTTGGGCATTGAATATTTGCCTTTGTATGTGTAAACTGCCCTGAGTTCACTGGGGGAGATAGGGTGGTCTAAAAATAAAGATGATGATGATGATGATGATGATTTGAAACACAACAAGATGAGTCCACAAGAAACAAGTTCACTCTGCTGGCTGTTGTATTGGATCACACGTCAGACACTTCCCAAGTGTCTAGGACTGTGTGATATATTTGCAAATAACACGTGCAGATCCCAGTAAGATGGCCTTTTGCAGGTGGCAGATGGTCATTTTGTCAGCACCGATTCTGTTTATGTGCAGGCCAAGGTCTTTAGGCACTGCACCCACTGTGCCGATCACCACTGGGACCACCTTTACTAGCTTGTGCCAGAGTCTTTGCAGTTCGATCTTTAAATCCTCATATCATGTCAGCTTTTCCAGTTGTTTCTCTTCAATCCTGCTGTCACCTGGGATTGCAACATCGACAATCCATTCTTTGTTTTTTAACATGATCATGAGGCCAGGAGTATTCTGCTCCAAAACTCTGAATTCGGAAGTCCCAGAGTAGTTTGACGTGTTCGTTTTCTGTAACTTTTTCAGGCTTGTGATACCACCAGTTCTTTGTTATTTGTTGTTGTTGTTTTTATTAATTACATTTTCTTGTCCCTTTTAACCTTTACATGCTCTGTCCAAGCTTTAAAAAAACAGGACCAAAAATGCACACATAACATGTTTTCCTGGCTTACTCAGACCTAATTTAAAGCACTAGTACCAACCAGAGTACACACACTGAATCAAATGTATAATTTTAAGGCTGTACTTTTTAGGTGGATTTATGTTTACTGGGATTAGCAACTGGATACATCACTTTATCTTTAAGCAGGTACTCAAAAATATATAATAAGGGCGAGAGGTAACTCACTTTGATGATATGGGCAAAATATTTTCCAGAAACCCTGTTGTCAGTCTTGATGAAAATCTCTCGCAGGACAGACTCACCAATGGGGTTGTATTTTGCATTGAACTTGTCAAACCGATGGAAGGTATTACGGTCCTATTAAAAGAAAAATCATTGGAATTAGGAGACCTCAGTGGCAAAGGACTGTGGTTCTTCTGCTCTTCACCTAGTGTCTGCAATGACACCTAAATTACTTGTCAGAATTGCCCTCCATGTAGCATTTTGTTCTAGAAGCTGTACCTTTCAAGCCAGAAGGTACTTGAAAGGTAATTGGCCATCTTGATTAAAATTTAATGACCTTGCAGTTTCAAAGCCTGATTGCGTCCTGCCTGGGGGAATCCTTTGTTGGGGGTTGCTAGCTGGCTCTAATTGATTCTTGTCTGGTATTCCCCTGGGTCAGCTAACACGTCCCAACAAAGGATTCCCCTGGGAAGCAATCAGCCAGGCTTTGAAGCTGCGAGGCCATTAAATGCTAATCAAGGTGGCCAATTGCAACATTCACACTTGCCTCCAGCAGACAAGAGTTCTTTCTCCCACCCTGGACATTCCAGATATATAAACCTCACTTGCCTAGTTTCCAATAGACCCTTCAATCTCTGAGAATGCCTGCCATAGATGTGGGCAAAACATCAGGAGACAATGCTTTTGGAACATGGCCATACAGCCTAGAAAACTCACAGCAACCCAGAAGGTAATGCTCAGCCTAATGAGCATCTCCAACTTTCACATCCCCTTTAAGGCAAGAGCTACTGCCAGTAGATCTATATCTAGGCAAAATGAGGTTAAGCTCCCCATTGAGTAAAACCTAGAGAACAGCTGGGGTGGGAATAATGTTGCCTTCCAGACGTTGGACTGCAATTTCCAGCAGTGTTGGTTTGGGCTGGTGGGACTCATAGCACCAAAGCCTCTGGAGGGCCACATGATTCCAAACCTGAACTAGAGGGAGAATTGGGAAGTAACATTCAACATAAAAGACAGCTATGTAGATGAACACAGAGAGCAATTAGTATCCAGTTTCATATGCTTTGTCGATAATGGGAAGGGTCTCCATTCTGCTAACCTCATCCTTAAATAAGTACGGCATTCCCAAACAAGACAACAGCATTCACCATTGTTTCAAAGGCAATGAGTTTTATTCTCTTTGACATGAGTATTTCACATACCGCATGGACATCAAGTGTGTCTACACTGAGATCATAGGCTGTGAGATTCATGGTCTCAAAGACCTCCTTTAGGGTTTGCTCCTTGCCCTTCTCCACATGAACAATCTCCTCCAGGTGCTTCTTCATTGCCCGTTTGATGAATCGCAACAGATGCTTCTGGTTCATGCAAGATGATGCATGGATGTGTGTGTCCACCTGAAAGAAGAGGTCAGTGGGTAAGCCAGAAAAAAAAAGAGTTCAAATCTTAGCCGAGGACTTCCCTTCACAAGGTCCACTCTCTTTCAGTCAAATCCCTCAGTCTGGAAAAATAGGATAATTATACTTACACGGTTTTTGAAATTTAGATGGCTGGGCTTTTAAAAAATACACTATGCAAATTGGCTACCATTTGAACATCTTCCAGCCAAGATGACATGAGACATCACAACAGCAAATGCCATCTTGGTTGGGAGATGCTCAATTTGCATGAAAAAATAGAGAGAAAGGAAGAGAGAGAACCTTTTAAAACAGATATCCCTCAGTTAACAAATAGACATTTTCCTCAGCATAGATTCCAGTTCTATGTGTCTCTAAACAACAGTAACAAAGAGTGCTGGCACCTTCCGGATGTTGTAGAAATCACGATGTGGCACCCTCTTCTGGGCTGCCAACTCTTTCATCTCATTCAGCAAGACATGCATCTGGAACTTTGAACTTAGATATTGCAGTCGTCTGTAGCAGAAGGATTTTCTGTCAATCAAATTGTGAAAAAGACAACAGGTTACGTTTTGCATGCTTCTGATCAGCCTTTCTCAACACAGCAGGACAACAATATGCAGCAGGAAAATCTAGTTTTGAAAATCTACTCCTCTAAAACTCTACCCCTTTCAGTGGTCAAGTAGCAACATCTGTTTCACCCTCACCCTTTGGATAGGTGAACAGTTAGGTGCTACTTTCCAAAGTCTGGGAAATTAGAAGCAATGCCATAACATCGTAACAAAGTGCTGTGCTAAGTCAAACCACTGACCCATTAACTCAGCTATGCAATTAGAAAGAAAAAAGGCAGAATGCAGAGATATTAAGAAAGGAGGTATGCTTATTATTATTATAGTTAGAAGTCTTGCAGTCAAAGGGGTAGCATTTGTCAGTATGTAGCTAAGTATTAGGTAAAGGTTTTCCCTTGACATTAAGTCCCAGTCATGTCCGACTCTGGGGGTTTGTGCTCATCTCCATTTCTAAGCTGAAGAGCCGGCATTGTCCATAGACACCTTCAAGGTCATGTGGCCAGCATGACTGCATGGAGCGCTGTTACCTTCCCACCGGAGTGATACCTGTTTATCTACTCACATTTGTTGAGACAGTTTTAATTAGTGGATTTTAACGTCGAGATATGTGATTTTAATGCTTTTGTGCGTGTATGGTCTAATATGTTTCAGCTTTGAATGTTTGCCGTTTATATGTTGTGCTCTGCCCTGAGTCCCCTTCGGGGTGAGAAGGGCGTAATATAAATGCTTTAAATAAATAAATAATAAATAATTTGCATATTTTTGAACGGCTAGGTTGGCAGAAGCTGGGCCTAACAGCCGGAGCTCATGCCGCTCCCCGGATTCAAACCTGCGACCTTTCAGTCAGGAAGTTCAGCAGCTCCGTGCTTTAACCCACTGTGCCACTGGGGGGGGGGGAGTAGCTAAGAATTACACTTCTGGAAAGCAACAATGGTAAGATATACACCTCTAAGCAATTATTTAATTTTTGTTGTAAAAAAGTGTGTGTGTGTGTGTGTTTAAAAGCTGTTGATACTAATGCAAACATAATATCTTACTATGAAAAGGAGTTTTAGATGAGACCGCGTTTGAAATAAACCCGACTTGAACCAGTCCGATTAAGCATAATTCTGTTTGGAAATTGAAACTGTTAGGTCTTGTTCTTGCACATACAAACCAAGAAAGCAGAAAAACTACATTTGCTTACATGGGACCATTGATGATGAGAGCCATAAGGACATTCATGTCAGCAACAAACTCTTGTAGGTCAGGGTAAGGTAAATCCAGTTCTGTGCTCCTTTAAAAAAAGAAAAGAATCACCAACAGATCAAATCAAACACTGGGCACAGATGCCATCCCCGCCTAATAGTATCCTGGAGAACACAGAAAGAAATCAGGTGAGTGTATAACAACAACAACAACAACAACAACAACAACAACAACAACTTTATTTGTATTTTGCCCTATCTACCCGAAGGGACTCACCTATGTAATGTGAACTGTAAAACCAAGAACAATCCTTTCTATAGCATGTTGCAAATGAGAGCTAACTACTAATTAGGTGAAATCAGGCTTTGGAAATTGTTGGACTGCGATTCCCATGATTTACTAGTTCGTAACCTGGCTAGGACTAGCCGGAGCTGCAATATAACACTTTCTGAAGGTCAACACAATCACAGCACCTGAACTTGATGATGGAAGAAGATTTTGGCCCATTAGAACTTGATAAACAAGATTCTCTTAACCTGCCCCCCCCCCCCCCAAATTAATATTAGGTTGGTTGGTATCACAACAGTTTCAAATTTAAATTGCGGGAAAATTGGTTTCAATAGTGTACCAGTTCTGGTAATGAAGATTTGTTGTTGTTGTTATTTATTCGTTCAGTTGCTTCCGACTCTTTGTGACCTCATGGACCAACCCACGCCAGAGCTCCCTGTCAGCCATCACCACCCCAGCTCCTTCAAGGTCAAGCCAGTCACTTCAAGTATACCATCCATCCATCCATCCATCTTGCCCTTGGTTGCCCCTCTTCCTTTTTCCTTCTATTTCCCCCAGCATCATTGTCTTCTCTAAGCTTTCCTGTTTTCTCATTATGTGGCCAAATGAAGGTATCTTACCTTATTTCTACAAATTTTAACTTTCATTTTCAAATGTTGTAGTTGTACTGGTAATAGTAGTACCACCACCCACAGAGCAAAATAATAGTTATCACTATTGGGTAATTAATTTCAAAACATGCAAGACATTTCTGGTAAAGATTCCTTTTCTTTTTTTAATTTATTTTATTTAAATCTCTTTTCTTGCTACTGTTATTCTTTCTTTAAGTATTCCAGGTTTTACGAAAATTCAAACTTTAATTTCAAAATAATGGAAATATATTTCAATGGAGATATGAAATCAGAACATTCAATCTTGTCCACCACACTTTAAAAATCTATATGCAATTACTCAAAGGGACTGTCAAAAGAGAGTCATCAATATGCTGATCACACCTCAGTCCATTTTCCTTCAAGTCCAAATCCATGAGCAGCTGTTAACACTGCGCGCCTCTGGGCTCAGCTATGGTTGGGTGAAGCTGAATGAACTGCAGCCGAATTCAGACAACATATTGTAACTAAGACACACACACTGGAGTTGCTTTTCTAGATGCAAGTCAGACACCACTAGCAATTTTTAAAATGGCCCATAGAATTAACAAAGTGAGTAACCAATAAATTGACATAATTCAACAAATCAAACCATTTTAATTATCAACATCAAAGACAGTAAATTAACCTTTCCATTTCTAATGGTCAATGTGGACAAATTAATTTTCAATCCATGTTGTGGCAATGGTGTGCAATACCTCATAGAAAAAGAGTCTTTATCTTTTTTTTACTGCACAATGTGCTGAGTGTGTTAAGTGCAAACTCGATGTTTGCACATATTTGATTGGTAAGTTTATTTTGAAAATGACAGATATTTCTGTATGCAAATAATGGATAAGTAAAGGTAAAGGTTTCCCCTGACATTAAGTCTAGTCATGTCTGACTCTGGGGGTGGTGCTCATCTCAATTTCTAAGCCGAAGAGCCAGCACTGTCCATAGACACCTCCAAGAGCATGCGGCCAGCATGACTGCATGGAGCACCATTACCTTCCCACAGAAGTGATACCTATTGATCTGCTCACACTGGCATGTTTTCGAAGTGCTAGGCTAGCAAAAGCTGGAGCTAACAGCAGGAGATCACCCTACTCCCCTGATTCAAACCACCATTCAGTCAGCAAGTTCAGCAGCTCAGTGGTTTAACCGGCTGTGCCACTAGGGTCCCCAAAATAATGAATAGTCCCTATTAAAAGAGGATTTGTTCATTCAGGGCTATTTAAGCGACTGTCAATGACACTCTTTCACCAAAACCTGTTTTTAAAATGCTTCTTGAAGACAGACAGAGACAGGGAAATATGTATGAAATGTCTAGTGGTTTTGGTAACAGCTATTCCCAGTAATCATATGCATATAAATAATCATTTACATGAAAAGTGTATGCTATGTGTCTAGTTTATCCTAAAATAATAGCCCTAGACTGGAATAATTATAGAGGAAAGTTTCACTTTTGTTATGTATGTGCCATCCTTGCTTATTCAGGAAAAACATATAGGATCAACAATTCCAGGAGAAATGTCACAAAAATATGCTGTTAAAAATGGGTATGGAAAAAAGGCGAATGCCTTATATGACAACTGGTCATTTGCAAATTTTCTCCATCACTAAGGAACATCCTCACTTAGGAAGATCCAGAAAAGGCACGCTCCCAATCCTCCTTACTTGTCTATGACGTCTTGCTTGGTGTACACATGAACCACCCCATTGACCATCTTGAGGCCAAATCCAAGGTCCCCAGGCATTGATTCTGGGTCACACTTCTCGTAAGGGTGCTGGTCTGTAAATGGTGGGTGTACTGGGGCATCTGCACCACAGAAAAAAGAACAGTGAGTATCATTATTTTAACAGAAAACTGAAATAAAAATAATATTGGCAACTAATATTTGGAACTCTCCCTTTCATCAAACCCCAAGACATAGATTGTCAATGCAGTTTTTGCCAGAGTCAGTGACACAAACAAGTCAGCACTGTAGTGGCTGAAATGATAAGGAACACAACCATATCAAAACATGAATATAGAATGCAAATCATCCACTAGTACACAATCCTCCCAATACATGGAAAATGCAAATTATGCAAAATCAAATAAAATATGCACACCTGGCTCTTGGAAGAATGAAAACAAAAAAATGTGAATTTTCTTAGTATAAAGGAAATAAGCACACTTAAGTCTTGTCCTCATCCTGTATCCCTCTAACAGTCAACTCCACCAGTTAGTTCTTTGGAGTTGTACAAGCTTGGAGGGATGGCATATATTTCCTGAAGCTAAACATTTCTCCCTCCATGTTATAATGGCTGGCTAAGTTTGGGAGTAAATTAACTTTTCTGGTGTTTAGTCATACGTATCCTAGTCTATTGACAACATAATGCATATTTCTGGTTTTCACTCATTACCAGCATTGAAAAGTTGCTTTTTTGGAATACAATACATAGGAATACAATACATATTCCAGGATCTCTTAATACAAAGAGATCCTGGAATATGTTATCCAAAATGGAAACCTTTTCAAACTATGGTTATGATACAGCAATGGTTTCCTAGCTTTGGTCCTCCAAATGCTTTGAATTTCAGACACCAGAACTTCTGGTTGTTGGCCAAACTGGTTAGAGTTTCAGGGAGCTGGAGTCTAAAACTACTAGAGAACCAAGGTTTGGGAACTGTGATAGAATCATAGAATCACAGAGTTGGAAGAGACCTCATGGGCCATCCAGTCCAACCCCCTGCCAAGAAGCAGGAAAATTACATTCAAAGCACCCCCGACAGATAGCCATCCAGTCTATGCTTAAAAGCCTCCATAGAAGGAGCCTCCACCACACTCCCCGGAGAGTTCCACTGCTGAACAGCTCTCATAGTCAGGAAGTTCTTCCTCATGCTCAGGTGGAATCTCCTTTCCTGTAATTTGAAGTCATTGTCTGCATACTAGTCTCCAGGGCAGCAGAAAACAAGCTTACTCCCTCCTCCCTATAACTTCCCCTCACATATTTATACATGGCTATCATGTCTCCTCTCAGCCTTCTCTTCTGCAGGCTAAACATGCCCAACTCTTTAAGACGTTCCTCATAGGGCTTGCTCTCCAGATCCCTGATCATTTTCGTCTCCCTTCTCTGGACACATTCCAGCTTGTCAACATCTCCCTTCAACTGCAGTGCCCAGAATTGGACATAGTGTGATTCCAGGTGTGGTCTGACCAAGGCAGAATAGAGGATCTAGATGCTATACACCTTTTTATGCAGGCCAAAGTCTCATTGGCTTTTTTTTGCTGCCGAATCACATTGTTAGCTCAAGTTTAACTTGTTGTTCACGAGGACTCCAGATCTTTTTCACATGTTCTGCTCTCGACCCAGGCATCCTCCATTCTGTATCTTTACATTTCATTTCTTTCTGCTTAAGTTAAGTATCTTGCATTTGTCACTGCTGAATTTCATTTTGTAAGTTTTGGCCCATCTCTCTAATCTGTTAAGATCATTTTGAATTCTGCTCCTGTCTTTTGGAGTATTTGCTATCCCTCCCAATTTGGAGTCATCTGCAAACTTGATGATCAGGCCTTCTAACCTTTCATCTAAGTCATTAATAAAGATGTTGAACAGGACCGGGAATTGCCCTGGATTATGCATTGCATCACCAAGGCCGTGACCGCCTTACAAGTAACCAGAGACCAGTCTAACTACTCTTTTCCTCCCTTCCTTATCCCCTTCTCAGTCACATGCCCAGACCATAAGCATACCTGCTGCCACAGGGGTCTCTGGGATCTCTTCGTACATCCTGGGGGCCAAGGGCTTTTCAGAAAGGTCTTGCAGGAAGCGAGCAGTGGTCTTGCAGAAACTTTGCAGAGAAAACCCCATGTACTTCTCCCGGATGAAAAGAGCCTTCACTACACTTTTGGCAGCATCCAACAAGTCTGTGAAGGGAACCTGAAATGAGCAAAATGCAGATGGGAAGTTAGATGGATCCTATCACAGCTAACAGGCAGACTTAATGGGCTAGGAAGCCAACTGCTTGGGATTACTGGTAAGAATATGCAAACGTACAATTAAGATGGAAATCATATTAATGTATACAATGATAATTTATTCCAATAAACTGGAAGCCCAGCTGACTTCTATGGAGAAAAACATTCCATATCAGCAAACACGTATGTACAAAAGGCTGTCTGCTTCCATTCAATTTTTTTTCAATGAGAGTTCAAAATAGGGATGAGAGAGCTCTCATCAAAGGGCTAGCTCTTGATACTTGCCAGACCTATAGAAACAGAGAGATGTTCTGGGAATTGTAGTTCAAAATTAACTTTTATGAGCTTTCAGCTCTTCTTTTGCTTCAATGCAAGCTGGGATCATGCAATTCTTGGAGAACTTATTTCCCAGTATCCCCATATGGGACTGCCCTTTGCTCTTGAGCTAAAATGCCCTTCCCTTTCACTGAGAGTGGAATCATCAACACCAGAACAAGAGTTTCCCCTGGCAGATGAGCTGACTCCTATGGAGAAAAATAGGTGCAAATTCTTGGACTACATGCAAAACCTTAGTTACAAATTATTAAAAAGTCTCTGAAGAAAAATCCGACAAAGCACCCATGCCCCAGAGAGTACTGTATGACATAGAAAACTGCTGAAGCTCCACGGAATCCAGAAATGTATAGTTTGGTGATTTCGTAATGCCTCCCCTTAATTATAGTGCTAGAGTTCTCTACAACGATTCTAACTCCCTCACTGAACTACAGGTCTCAGGATTCTCCAGAATAGCATTTCTCAACCTGAGGGTCAGGACCTTCCAATATTTTCTGTTGGTCATGGGAGTTCTGTGCGCCAAGTATGGTTCAACTCCATCATTGGTGGGGTTTAGAATGCTCTTTGATTGTAGGTGAACTATAAATCCCAGCAACTACAACTCCCAAATGACGAAATAATTCCCCCCAACCCCACCAGTATTCAAATTTTGGCATATCAGGTATTTGTGCCAAATTTGGTCCAGTGAATGAAAATACATCCTGCATATCAGATATTTACATAATGATTCATAACAGTGGCAAAATTACAGTTAGAAAGTAGCAATGAAAATAATTTTATGGTTGAGGGTCACCACAACAGGATGAACTGTATTAAGGGGTCACGGAATTAGGAAGGTTGAGAACCACTGCTGTAGAAGACATAACAAAGTCACATGAAAACATAACAAAGTGGGATGAAACTGGTATAACTCCAATGCAGTTGCACTCTCTGCCTACAGATATCTATGAATTAGGGAAATAGAATAATTTAGTTTTACCCCACACGTCTCTTCTCCAGAGATAGTGACCCTCTGGAATTCCCTCTCCAGAAGTACATCTCGTTCCTTTGGGAGATGGTCCACCACATCTTCGCCCTGCTCCTTGAACAATCTGTGTAGAAAGTGGGGAAGGGAAACAGGGGGAGAAGTGAGGGAGCAAGAGGAATGGACAGGTTAAGCTCTACCCCACTACCTGTCCTACTCCAGAACGTCCTCTGTTCAAAAAAATAACATGGAGACATCAAAGCAGGACACACTGCACACAAACACGTGCAACACAGGGGACTCCAGCCTCCCTTTTTCTCCCCCCCCCCAAAAAAAAACAACAGCAGACTGCTTCAGATTCATGGGCTATTTACAGGGAGGGAGCACACCTGGAAGAAAGATTGCTCAGAAGTGGAGGGAATGATGATTCCACACACTATTATCCATTAGTCCTATACTACAACTGGCATCCCCATAACGGCATGCCCATGTATCTCTTTAGATGGGACACAGGGGGTTATTGTGCTCTATCCATAGACTCTTTCATCCCCAGAGACTTAAAGCCCCAGGAAAAGCTGATGGAAAAGGCAGGGGAAAGCAGTTCAGACCACAAAAACATGGTTGCCTTGGGCTCTGGCGAAGGAAAAGGAAAATGCACCCCATCCATGGGCATACACCTGTTTTTCCTCTTTTCTTGTTGAACTGAGTACAGCTGCTACTTCACAGCCCAAAGCCCTTTCCCACATTTCTTTCCAGAACAATAAGGAGCTAAAGCAGGCCCTTCTGGAACCTGACAATAATGGGGGAAATTGGGACATAAAACTGTGTCAGTGGAGGTAATAAGTTGGATAGAACCAAAAGTCAGGATCCCCAGAGCTTCAACTTGGTGGTAGTTGAGCTAAATAGGCTGGTCCATATGTTGTCTTTCATATGTTGACTTAGCTGCTGGGCTTTATAATATCTGGGCTGTTCAGCTGGCTAATGAAAAGTGAAAAGGGGTGTGAATGGGGGATAAAATATCAATACAGAGAAAAGAGGCTGCCTCGATCCACTGTGGCTGCTGTGAGAAGACTAAAAAGACTCTAAAAGAGAGGGATGAAATGGAGCTCAAAGCAAAAGAACAAAGGATGGTGACTGGCAGACAAAAGTGAACTATTCCCCACCCATCAGTGTCAAAAGACTGTGGACCCAAGTGCACTCTTGCCCAGCAGGAAAAGGATTTGCAGCTTCCCTGTTATGCCTTCATCTTAGAAGGGCTTCCCAATCAGATTTACAGGAGCACACAGCAAAATGGCAGCTAACTTTGTCCCTCCTTTCCACATATTCTGTTTTCACATGCCACTCTTTCCTTCTGCAAGTGAATTTGCCTTTCTGCTTTGGTATCCAGTTCCAAGCCTGCTTCTTGATTGCTTTACATGCTCCCCAAACAGCTTTTTGGGAAACTTTTTGACTACTGCTCTCAGAAATCCCTCCAGTTTTGAGAGATGTAGTGTAAAAACGATTTTTCCAAACTCAGCTCAATACCTGGATCCATGTAGATTACATTTTTCTCCATTAGCAGTCCCAGTCATCACAAGTCTGACAAGGTGTGGGGACGGGTGTGAGCATGGGATGAAAAATTCAGCTTGTGGGGTGTTCCCGCACCCACCACTGAGTCAAGGGCAGAGAGAGTTAATGCCAGGCACTCACTGTAAGTCAGCAGCACTGTCAATTTTCAGGAAGTCCTGTTTGGCTCTGAGTAAAATGTCGGGTTCTAGTCTGAGGACAAATGGGAAGTGGAGGCCAAGGCCGAGGTAAGGACAAACAGACGGACAGAGAGAGAGAGAAAGACAGGTGAGGAAATGGTGGCGGAAGAGGATGAAGAGAAAAAGAAAACACTAGTATTAATGCAGAAACCAACACCAGAAATGGCAGACACTATGCAGTAATATTCACTAGCAATAGGATCCAAAAGAGAATGAGTGCAAGAGGCCTGGGTCAGACATGATGAACAAACCATGGTTCAGCTATCATGATATTGATTATGCTACATCAGGACATTTTCAGTGGCCAAACCATGGTTTGGACAAGATATCTCAATTGTGTCATATTTTTCTTATTTGTTTCTCCTCTCCAGTTCTGATATTTAAAGGAGAGTAGGCAACAGTGGTCAGAGAGAGTTGAAGGAAACCCAGGTGCCAATTGCCAATTTGTAAGGTGTTTTGTGAAGAAAGTCATCTAATGAAAACCTCAAGGCACCCAAGACAGACTGTGTACAGGACAAGCAATAGTATAAAACTAACAATCATAAATACGTACACACATAATACATACACACCTGCAACTATGCCAGTGGTACATATATAGCTCTGAGTAGACCTTATTAGCTGTATTGTTGTCCTCTCATTAATTGCTTCTATCAGTAGAAAGGAGAGGTAATGATGGGACACACACACACAAAACTATGGAAACCGAATGCTTATTTGGCCAACCAATGTATGTATTTCTGGTTATGACAAAAAGCGACTCTCTACTAGTTTCTTGCCACCTCTCTCATTGCCCTAGTGCCAATGTTCATTCCATCATCTTTGTACTCAGGTTCTTATGAAATGCTCTTTCTGTCCCTTGGGAGAATCCAGATAAGAAACCAAGAGGAGGGCAGGAGAAGACAAAAAAGCCCCAGCCACTTACTTCACATCTTGGCTGATTTGCCGCTCCAGCCGCTGACGTCTCTCCTCGAGCTGCTCAATGGGGCTGTCTTCGGGGAATTCATAGGGAGCACTGCGCATTTCACTATCAGCCAATGAGCGACAGAATAACTCCTGTGGATAGAGCAGCACAGCAGTGCAACAGTATGTGTAAATGAGCAGAAGAAGGTGGAGAAACCAAGCCTATCACAGAATGCATCCTGGATATGCAACACAGGCAACTATGGGAAGTATCCATTTTGTTGAGAAATATAGTCAACCATCCACATTTGCATGTTTAATATGTAGGGATTTGATTATTCACATATTTGATTAATACATTTTGTTTGAGAATCTCTAGGTCCTCTAGTACAACTCTATGGCCAACTTCTGCAAGAAGCTGAGTATATAGAGTCATGTCGGATGACCTAGAATTCCTAGAGAGAATACCTTTTTTGGGAATCCCAGAATCCTCTGAGACAATTCTCTGTCAATTTCTGGCACATGTTGACTTGAGTCATGCGGGGGGACCTAGAGATTCCAAGCAAGGCATTCTCGCAAGTTAGCATATTATTTTTCTAGTTTTGTGGGGCACCACATATACCCAACCCCCCACAAAAGTAGAGGCCTTCTCTACTGTGACTGGGTGGATTATGAAGATGGGACATGTGCCATAACATTCTCCTATCTAGGTCAAGATTGGAAATGTTATTACATGGAAGAGCTGATTACAGCTGTCATACCAACCCACAAAAGATTCTGCGAGTTACCCCCACCCCGTAAATCATTTTTCTAATATCTGTATTCAAAATGGAAATTTTTGTGGAAATCACAATAGCAGTGATCCAGATTTGCAACTTGGTAATTCTCATTGTTGTTGTATTCTCATCATAAAACCCATCAAAAGGTATGTTAATGATTAATAAACTCCAGGGATCATCCTCCCTTGCTTTCTCCTGCATGTTTCTGACAAATGGATCTGTCAACATTAAAAAATTATGGCCACTAAGTGATTCAACAGGCCTTTTTGCCTCCCAAGAAACTGAGATGGAATTTTGGATTTTTTTTAATGCTTAAATATTTTTCCTCTCTTTCTAGGGACATTTCCCAGAATACAGTTTTAACCAGATGCATGTTATAGATCTATTCTATATCCACTAAAAGCAGATGTGAGTAACAGGAGGCATTTGAAATGTAGTGGAACTTTAACTTTCATCAGTTCTAGTAAGCTTAACCAAATGGGGAGGAATTATGAGAGTTGTGCTCCAATCCCAGCTAAGAAGAGCACAGATTGTCAATCCCAACACCAAAATGTAACAGTGCATGTTCAAGCCAGTGAGGTAGAACTGACAAATGTTCTTGTGGCATATAGAGAGCATTTATGCATTGTGGCTATTATGATTTTCATGGGTAAGCAATAAAATGGTCTTTTAAGATTATATTTCTAATGCTCTTTAGAAGGATGATATGATATGATAGCAATGATCCAGAAACCCAGCAACGTTCAAATATAAAGGAAGTCAAGATACACGCTCTCAATGTGGCAGAAAAAAAACTAAGACTATTCACTGCTAAACTTCATGGGCATTTTAATGATCTATAGCAAATTCCAAAAAGAGCTGAGTTTTCAGAACTGGGAACAAATAACATCATTAAAATGCCTCCTCCCTTGAGTCACTGCAAAACTTTTGCAATTTGAGATTATTATTTTTTACGGTAGTGAGTCTGGTGAAGAAGGGGAATGTCTCCTATATAAACACGTGTATGAAATAGGCCCTTAGTATTCTCTGTGGTTTGATTTCAAGACCCTATAGAACCAAAATTGGTCCATACTCAAGTCAAATTATATACAATAGCATAATAAAATAAAAATAGCGTGCTTTAAATAAAATGGCAAAAACAAGGTTCGCTTGCTGATATTTTTTTAGTATTTTCAAGCTGTGGGTGGATGAATCTGTGGACTCAGAATCCTCATACTCCTTTTTGTGAGCTTTAAAAAGAATCCTGCTGAATCACAGAGGAAGGCACATGACAGAAACAATTTACATCTGTTTCAAAAGTTGCAAAGTGTGGGCGGAGAAAATTGCAAAGCAGGTGATGAATGCATGACAATATTTTAACAATAATTATCTGTTGAACTTATATCCGATGGCTTTCCTTCCCCCTTTTATCGTCACAGCAACTCTTTGAGGCAGATCAGGCTGAAAAAGTATGCCTGCCTAAAAATCACCCTATGGAAGTGGTTCCCAACCTGTGGGTCCCCAGATGTCTTGGCCTTCAGCTCACAGAAATCCAAACAGCTGGTAAACTAGCTTGGATTTCTGGGAGTTGTAGGCCAAAATACCTGGGGACCCACAGGTTGAGAACCACTGCCCTATGGGTTTCATAACTAAGTGTGGGACTTGAACCCGGATCCTCCACATTCCAGTTCAGCACTCTAACCACTCCTCCATATTGTGTCTTTTCTACCTTTATCTATTATTTATTTGTATACCTGGTCTACAAAGCAAGAAGGCATTTGGACACACAGGTAGAGCCTGTTATGCTCTCTGATTGACCCCTTGTGCTACCAGCATTTGTGAAGGGACAGCAGATGCAGGAGGAGTTATGTGCTGACTGCTTTTCCCTGTTGTGTCCAAAGAGCCCCGAGGCAGTGGCAGAAAGCATATTGTGCAACAGACAGCGCTGTGACCTGGGAAGTGCTGAGTCAGGCTTGCTTTACAAGGGTTTCCTCTAATAAATCAGACAGGCAAATCAATTACTTAGCCTCTGCTCCATCAAAAGAAATGTATTTACAATTAATTCACCAGGGACCTGATTCTTGAAATCCCTGCCTGTGGTAAAGCTACATTCATTCTTGAAAAGTAACTAAAGGCAAGAAGCCAACTGTTAATGTCAGCCATTACAACGGAAGCACTTTTAAAACATAGACTTAACAGACAGTAGCAGAATTAATTGCAAGACAACGGGAGAATCTTTGGCAATAACCCAGATAGATACAAAGTTAAAATTTTGGATCCTTTGAGCCTCTCCTGTTGAGAAATGTGCTAAAAGTGTTCCTCCAAAATAGGCAAGAGCCTATCCAGACAAAGTCTGACCAAAACACCACTGGAATCACTCTCCTTAAAGAAGGTCCAGCTCATACTTCTGCAAAAAATGATCTCCTGTGCCTGGAAGGAAAATGGATTCCAACTGCAACTTGAAATTTGATCTCTCACTCAACAAGGTGAAAATGTGAGCATCCCCAATCCCACTGCCTCTAATGTTGCCCCACCAACTAACAATGCTATCTATAATCCTATCACTAACTAACAACATATTTCACAAATCCTAGTAATTTCAAAATTTATATTAAATTAGGAACAGCATCCCACTCATAAATATTTCTGGATTGCAGTTCCTATTAATTCCTTCTATTAATATTAATTAATTAATTTATTGCATTTATATACCGCTTTCCTCACCCCTGGGAGGACTCAAAGCAGATCATAATATAATCAATGGCAAAATTCAATGCCTCACAAGTATAAAACACCACATTATCAGATGAACAACATAAAACAGTAGATTAAAAGCATTAAAACTATAAAGCTATAACAACAATCACAAACTCCACAAGAAACCTTTAGACCTTGTATCAACCCCAGAATATCTTTAGTTACTTCTATATATCTGTCATTCATCAAATGCCTGCTTGAACAACCAAGTCTAAAGTTGTTTCCTAAATGCTAAGGGGGGGGGGCTGATCTAATCTCACTGGGAAGGGAGTTCCACAGCCAAGGGGCAACCACCGAGAAGGCCCTGTCTCTCATCCCCACCAATCGCAACTGTGAAGGCAGCGGGCCCAAGAGCAGGACCTCCCCAGCAGATCTTAGTGTTCTATTATAACAAATCGAGGACAAAATAGGAATCTGAAAGTCCAGTTTCCACACATTTTCTAAAAAGTCCTGAGTAGAACTCCACACAATTGTGAATGACACTCCCAAGTTTTTGGGCCAGATTGAAGACAAAAATCACAGGTTACTTCAAAATATACCAGGCTTAGGTTTGAAAGCAGAGCAGTCTTCAGTATTAGAAAATTAATTTGGCAAATCATCCTTCCATCGCTTGGTTTATTTATATCCTGCCTTTCTCCACACCCAACAATACCTTGAAACAGTCTGTGTACATAATCAGACATAAAAGAGAAGGCAATAAAAGAAAATAATTAGACATAAAAGAGAAGATGATAGAGGGAAAAAAGGAAACCCGAGGCCACTGTGCATTACTCTGATGCTTTAGTGCTCATAGGTCTTGTCCCAAGGTTATCATATATGAAAGCCACAGTAGGGAAGGCAAAAGAGTACCTCAGCAATCTCTTTGTACTTGCCATCCATGGAGGTGCGCAGATCAACAGGGAAATGCTTCAGGCAATGAGAAGGCCCCGGAAGGGAACGCGCAGGCTGCAACTGGCGGGTCCGTGGCCCTCCGTGGATTTCTGTGGAAATATAGAAGATCATAGTCAGGGAGACAAGAGAAAGCCATTGGCAGCTGGTTCTGTCACAGAAAGAGGAGGAAAGAACAGAAGTTTAGTAAAATGTAGCCTACAGAACAGTTTTGCCTCTTTATCAGAATTTAGACCTGTTCCCAAAAGTGTTCCATTTATTCTTCTTCAAAAAGAGAAGACTTCTAATTTTTTCATTCAAGGATTGCTGAATATTACCATTCTTTGCTCCCTTCTCAGCCCACTGTATGCATTTGATAGAAGCACTTGACAGCCTAAGAAAATTGTATCACAATATATAACAGTCTAAGAGGATCCTTCTAAACCTTTCCATTCTTCTGCTTCAGAAAGTGTCACAGGAACACCAAGGACTCATGTTGAGATGTTTGGAACAATTACAGACACATGTAGAAAAGATTACTGTATATAATCTATCATTCTTGGGAGAATAATGCAATTGTCAAGCTTGTTCCATGAGAATACTTTCCTCAAAGTTTTTCCCATCTTTATGCACTGAAAAACTTGATGCTGCCGGGACTCTACCATGGTACAGGTGGAGCGAAGTTGCTAGTTAACTTTCAAATGAGAAGCAAAATGGCTCTGCTATTGAAATGTGTCCTTCTCTAATGTCTAATAATTGGAAGTAACTCTCTGGGAAGCTTGATGAATTTCATCCTGTTCCCTGGCCTCTATAACATAAGTCTAGTTCATCAATGCATGAGCTCAGTTCATCAGCTACAATCACACTCAAAACAACTATGAAATGGATAGCTAGAGCATATCGGACACTCTTATCCAGTTTGCTCATGCACCCCTAAAGTCCATCTCAAAAGGTCAATCAAGCCCCAGAACTATGTTACCAGTCATCTGTCTTTGTCATACATCCCTAGATTTGTTCACTTACAAATACCATGAGCTATCTTGAGCACCAACTTCCTCAGTTTGTTGTTACAGCTGTTCTGATATCAGAGAGAAACACAATGTCCAACAGGCTCAATTCTCTATCTTGTCTGAAAGTTTCCATTCTAGTGCTATAATGACAGTTCTTTCACATCACATCACTCATATTGTCAATATACAATCATGAATTACATTCCATATATGATAGGAAATGTACAAGTGTTACCTTCTTTATCCTCATAAAGCTCTAGGAGGTATCATACTCCATTCCCTTTTCACATACAGGAGAAGACAGGTGAGGCAGGCATTTGCCCATCAGTACTCAGTGAATTTTCAACACCAAGATTGGATGTGAAGTCGGACACTCAGACAGAGCTGCTAATCCACATGGTTTTTCAGAGGGAGTTCTAAAAGTTACCCAACCATAAACAGAGGTGCCACTGAACTGAAGACTGGACCTCATGTGTTCATAACTATTCATTATAAACTGGCATAACCAGAGTCAGCCCTACTATTACGCAGAAAGAGGGTGTTGCTTCATTTGGTAAATACAAACAACAAGGTACTGAAGGGAAAGAATTGTGTTAAAGAAATTATCTGTCATTAGTACACTGAATGAGAGCAAATGCCACCCAGTTCTTTGTCTCTAGTAGAAAGCCAATGCGGTGGAGTGTCTTGAGTGGACTAGAACTGGAGACCAGAAGTCAATTTACTGGAGGACCTTCGGCAAGTTGTAGATTCCTAGAAAACCCTGTGATAGGATCATCTTTGGATTTCCAAGAGTCAGAAACTGGCTTAAAGTCACACAACAACAAAACCATGGCTAGAACCAACCCTGGGCATCATTATTTATTCCAGGAAATCAGGACATGAAGATATTTTCACTAGCACCTCCCTATTGAACAGAGAGACATCCCCAGGACTCAAGTGGAAACAGCTTTAACTATGAATATCTATCTGGCAGTCCTGGGAACTGATTTTCTTAACTATAATAAGATGATTACATAATTGCAGAATATCTTGTTAAATCTGTAGACAGAAAAGGCACATTTAAAAATGCTGTATACAAAAGCTGAAAGAAATACATCCCAAGATTATGGGGGGAAATGGCCATTAAAATTATCAAGCTATGGGAATGTGGTTTGGGGAAGTATGGATTACAGCCCCAGAATCCCTCATCTAGCACAACTACTGGCCAAAAAGGTAACTGCTCCAAGCTATGGATCTGGTTTCATGGGAAGGGAAGGCCCTTTGTCCTGTTCATCAGCTTGAATAGTCAACTGCACTTACTGAGAAGCACTCCAAAAGTAATCATTCTCTGTGAAGGTTTCCATTTATTGGGCCAGAAAACCTGCCCCTTGCCACTGGCTCAAAGATCCATACCTTTTGTCGGCTTAGAGGGAGACCAGCAAAGGGAACAACACTTTCTTTGTTCTACTAAAAAGAACCTGGCAAAGCCACACAGAGGGATGCGGCATCCTTTTCTCATTCTCTCCTGTTTTGTGACTGCAAGTTCTGACAGCAAACACCAGAGATAGATCAACCCAACCTTATGCTGAGCAGGAGATGAACTGCTCAAAGTCCATTCTTGTTGGGGTGACTGGCTTCCAATTCTTAGGCCTCAAGGCTTTAATGAGAGTCAACTGGTTGCAGACCAGACCTTTCTGTCATGCTGCCACTCTTAGCTCTCATGCAGAGGACAGAGGGAGCCTGCTGGGGAAATCAAGAACAACCCACAGTGGCCATTCCGGCTTTTTGTTTGCTGTTGGCTGGGATTTGCTCTGACGCGGCTCTGCGGCTCTTTGGAGCCACACAGGAATCTCGGGGTGAATCAACTACCTACATGCCACACAGCATGGAGGCAAAGTGAACTGTGAAAAACACAGAGCTAGAGGCAAATACTGTGCTCCCTTTTCCCTGTAATTCACGCCAGCATAATTTACGGGTCAACCCACAAAATGCCTAAAAATAAAACATGGTAAACAACATGAATGCCAGGGGTAAGGGAAAGAAAGAATGTAGAGTTGCTTAATAGATTTTTACAAGCAGAACATAGTTCCAAGATGCTATGTGGTCATCTTATGGGTTGTAAAATGCAATACATTACACCAAAAGGAACGCTTTTCAGACACACACACACAGACAGATATAGCTCTGACAACCTCTTTTTCTCCCAGTGAAGAAAGTCAGTATCTTCTTCCTTGCTAACCACAAAGTCCTAAAGAAGAGCCTGCATTAAGATACTCCTCAGTACAGTTTTATGACTTTTCAACAACCACATGATAAGTAGAAACCTTAACTTTTGAACCATTCTGCATCACTACAAAACTGCATCTGCCCATCTTGCCCCTGAAAGCCATGTTCAACTTCAGCTGAAGCTCTATTAAATCTACTGTTATTAATCTGTTATGTCAACGCCTGTGAAAACTCTGAAAGTACTGGTAACCAAGACATTGAAGCTGCTTGCTCCTCATTAAACTGCTATGCTCAGATTCTGTTTGGAAGGATCTTCCCTCTTTAAAAGCAGAAAAGAAGCTGAAAAATAAGCAGTAAGAATGCCACAAAATTTGATTCAATTAAAGTATGTGATACAAAGTTGCTTGAAATGCTTTTGGTGTCTCTCCAGGCTGCTTCATCCAAGACAAAAAATATGCCTCCCCATTTCTCCATATGTCTCCATAGTGGTTAAAAATAATTTGATAAACCTAAGTATATGCCCTCATACTGTCATATACTTGCCACACAGGAATACATCTTTTCTATAGTGGTCTAGTGAAGACGTAAAGAGTAAAGACCTATCCCGTTAGGCTGTTGTGAAAATGATGTTATGTTAAGGTAGAAATTGAGGGATATTGTGATCTTGTAGTTAAACCTTAGATTAGAAGATGGCCAGCATTATATCTTCACTGGGCCTGTATGCAAAGCAGCCCCAGGAAAGAAGCAAAGTTATACCTACTGAGTATAAGTAACAGGAATAGATCAGAAAGGAGAAAAGATTCATGAATAAATATTTTTTACAAATCTTGAGGACTTAGAATGTCATCAACAGACCTTGGCAACTGCATCATCTGACAACAGCTACATCATCTGATAATATTGATTGCTTTCAAAAATCAGGATATCTGTTTGTCAATTACATCATAAGTTATCATCTTTATCAGCATTTCATTTAAAAGTCTTGGCAATCACAAACAAACATTCATCCTAATGCCCAGAAGGATTTGTGATTGGCAAATGGAACAATCCAAGCATAACATGCCACATGCATCCTCCTCATACCTTCACGCAAACCAAGTGTGAGTCAATATGTTATGGCTACTGGAAGGGGATGGGCAAATGCAATTCAAATCAATTCAATGATCTTTTGGCCTCAGGGTAATCCTGAACCTCTCAAGGGGCCAGTCCTACCACTGATAATTGCTGGTAGAATTTGGATGTTAAAGAACAGCAGCAGATTGTTACTTATTTACCTTACTATTATATTTTGACTGGCAGGGATGTGGAGAGGAACTTGTGGGAAGTTCTCCCTCAGTTGCCAAAAATAACTTGGCTGGCTTTGGGTACTACGCATTTTCATCTGGATGAGTCATGTTATGTGTGTATGCATCACTTGTGCTCTGTCTCAAATAGCAACCTTCCTGGGTCAGCCCTGGTCTGTCACACTTTCTCAACCAAACCTACAGGACTGGTGTGGTACTGAAAGAGAGGGAGAGAAGAAACAACAACAACAACAACAACAACAACAACAAAAACAAAAACAAAAATAACAACACAGTTCCTGTATACCACCCTGAATAAAAATGTTATAATCAAGACACACTTTCTAGCCAGACTTGTTGCCCTAGGAAACATTTTCTCACCTTAACACCTCATGTTTACCCTTCTTAATGTCATAGGATGTATCACATTCTATTTTTTGGAAATGGTGATAGAAATATATTTCTTCATACAAATACATGGCTAACTGGCACAGCTTATTCTACATCACATAATATTTCTTGAGTAAATTTGACAAGTTCCATCTGTCAATACTAATGTCATCCACTGGTCAAGCAGCTATCATTCATTACCTTCCTTTCAAATTTAGACTTATT